TGCCACCATGCTTGACTCTTTTTTTTTTCCCCTAGATGAGTTGAAGTCAACCTAGGTTTCCTTCTCTCCAATTTTGGGTGATTAATTTTCCTAGTTTTCATTGTCCTTTGCTAGATTTAGGCTCCCTGGTTTGGGATGTGAGATTCTGCCCTGCCACACACATAGTGGTTATCAGGGCCAGCAAGATGGCTCAGTGGATAAAAGTGCTTGCTGTCAAGTCAGACAACCGGAGTTTGATCCCAGAGCCCTTCACGGGAGAAGGAGAGAACCAACTCCCACAAGTTTTCCTCTGATCTCTACATTCATGCTGTGGCATACATGTGGGTAATGTACACACACACACACACACGCGCGCGTGCGCACACACACACACACACACACACACACACAAGTCAGAGCTACATAGTGAGACCAAAAAGGTAATTTCCTTGGATATTCTAGACATTTAAGGTTCCTGGTCAAAAAGATGTAATAAATCTTTTTTCAAAACTCTGGGTCCATCTCCCCAAGTGACTTCTCTAAGCCAGCTGTCCCCATTGGGTGGTTCTCTCTCCAGATGAAGGCCTCATGTACTTTCCCCAACTTGATTCAAGCTGGAAAGGGAGAGGCTCCATCTTCTACCTTGAACTCCTGCGCACTGTCTTTCATGCAGAGCAAAACCAGTCCAGGAAATATTCTGAAATAGATGTGTTCTGTCCATTTTGCCCTTCCTCTCTTAAATTGTCTGCTTCCTCCTCTCTGTATTTCTCTTATATGTCCCACATGGCAGGAGGACAGTATCCACCCAATGGTCCCAACAGGAAATTTAGCTAAGGCACTACTTAAAGATGGCAGAAGACAGAAGGCTGAATACCACTGCTCTGTGGGGGGCTAAACTTGGATCAGGTCTTGCATCTGCTATTTGTGTGTGTGTGTGTGTGTGTGTGTGTGTGTGTGTGTGTGTGCGCGCGCATGTGTCGTGCATGCATGCAGGCACTGAGGCCAGAGGACAATCTGAGGGGTCATTCCTCAGGAGCAGTCCATTTGTTTTTGAGACAGAGTCTCTCTGGCCTGGAGCTCACAAGTAAGCTAGGCTGGCCATCCAGCAAGTCCCAGAAATTCACCTGTCTCCATCTCCCCATTGCTGGGATTACAAGCACATGTCACTAAACATGGATTTTTTCACGTGTGTTCTGGGGCTAGAACTCAGGTTCATGTCTGTGTGACAAGCATTTTACTGGCTGAGCCATCTCCCCAGCCCTGCATTTACTTACTTTATAAGCATGTTCATAACAAACAGACACAGACACAGACACACAGACACACAGACACACACAGACACACAGACACACAGACACACAGACACACACACACACACACACACACACACACACACACACACACACACACACAGAGACCTCTCTGTTGCAATGAACAAAAGAACTTCTGTTCATGTGGGGAACTGTGAACCCAGGCTCATTCTGAGAATTTAATGGAAGTGTACATCAAGCAAGCAGTCACATAGTAGACGTTCAAAATAACTAATTTTCAGGGGTGGCACTGGGGAGCGAACCCAGAGTTCATATATAAGAACAATCCTAGCAACAAGCCTTTCTCCAGTACCTAGTAGCCTCTGGACGATGTGTGGGATGCTGAAGGCCCAGAAATGCCTCTGATTTTCCAATAGGTCACTCTAGGACCACTGACACCTAGACCCATGCCTAGCCCATTACAGATACTGAGGATATGTTTGGTGAGTGAATGATCACTGCTATGGAAGGCTGTCCTCCTGGCATGACGTGACTGTTGCCCTCTGGAACTACCAGCAGCTGTGATTATCCACAGAACTACACAAAACTGAGCTCATTAACTTCCCATTATGGATGAGGGGAGGGACTCATGGGTTCCTGTTCCTCCCCAAGATTTATAGACAGTTAATGGTAACTGCTGGGAGACAGAGATTTTTTCCCCCAGTGGTGTAGCTACCATAAGTTGGCCACACTCCTGTAAGTAATCCCAGTAAAACTCAATGGTTCACCAAGCGGCACTTGGTGGAATCATTTGTTTCTGCTGGTGGTGCCCTATCCAAGGTGAGTAGACATTTGTTCATGTGTCTTCAGAGGTGGAATGAAATTTCCAGACAACAAACCCCTTTGCAGAGCTCACAGTGTAGTGGCAGAAGGAAGCATATGGTACACCTAGACCATTTTAATACCAAATGATGTCAGCATAGAGGGGACACAAAGAAAGGAAGAAGAGGCTGGCATTGATGGACTCAAAGGGATCATGATGGATGTATAAGAATACATCAGGAGAAGAAGACTGGGAAGAGCTGACAGGGCAAGAGGGCCTCAAAGGAGGCAAAGGTCTGGGAGGGAGGCAGGATTGCAGAGTGAACATGAGCTTTGAAGGACAGGCTGTCCTGGGAAGAGACAGTGACTCAGGGTAAGACAGGATGGACTGAACCCTGATACTGACCCTCAGGGGGAGCATACTTCGCAAAGAAGTACCAGCCTCAGCTTGCCAGAGCTTCATCCCTCAGATGAGACCTGCCTTGTGGCCAGCTCTCCCTGCTCTTTCTATGGCCCGATACACCTCTGGGCACATTCAAGAATCAAATGTGTTAGTTCTCATGATAAGCTTGTACAGTCAGAAAGAAACTGAGGTACAGAGCAATGAAGCAATGACGTCTTCCCTGGTTCCACTAAGGTCAAGACTAAGATACAGACTCACCAGCATGGCTCTGAGTATTTAGCTACCACATGACTTTTCTTCCAGGTTCCTAAATAAATCACTCCACATTTTACATGGAATGTGTCAATACTCACAGTGCTCAGGGTCTTCCTGACCTGTACCTTCAGGCTAACAAGTTGGGATGGTGAAACAGGCAGCTGAACTCTGGAGTGAGCAGAGGGTGGCAGACCCCAGGTTCTGATCCCTGGCGTCCTCTCTGGCTTCCCTGTCTTCTCTGAGGCCTCTTCATCTTGAAGACCCCCTGCCCCATCCCAGAATCTGGGGGTGGAGCATGACAGGCTTACCTGCTTCTCATTAGAGGAGTCATTCATGTTGACCCCACAGGCCAAGTCAGGCCTGGGGAAGGTTTCTGACCAACCATCCTGTGTGCAGTTTCGGAACAGGGACCCTGTGGGTGGCAAGAGTCCAATAGATGAGTAGTAGGGACCAGGCAATGGAGTTGGTACAGTAAAATTTCTAGTAACATACAACTATTACTATCATTTTAAAGGTTGGGAAGCTGAGGCACAAGGTGTGCTATAACTTACCTACATAACAAGTCAGTGGGGAAGGGGGGTTCAATCTCTGTGGCTCTTCACTTCACACCATGTACCAATACTCTTTCTTACTCCCACCCCAGCCCTGCTGATGAATGGTATGTGTATGTTCATGTATGTGTAGCTACATATGAACAAGTGTGTGTGTCTGTGTGTGTGTGTCTGTGTGTGTATTTGTGAAGGTCAAAGGTCAACCTTGGGTGTCATTCCTCAGATGCCATCCACCTTGTTATTTCGAGACAGGGTCCCTCACTGGCCTAAACTTGCCAAGTAAGCTAGGCTGACTGGTCAGCAAGCCCCAGGAACCCATTTATCTTCACATCTCCGGTGCTGAGATTATAAACATGTGCCATCATGTCTGGCTTTAAAAAAAATTATTTTCTC